CTCCAGCCATGTAAAAAAACCGTGGCCTTCCTCGACACTTGAGACAAAGAGCGAAGATCTTCATACTTGAACTTAAATTTGACCACTTAACTGTTAAAGTGTCTTAGATCAATTACTAATGAGTTAACACAGAAAGGAGGAATACTGTGTTCAACGATACAGCCATTTGGTAAGAGCTCACCTATTTGCCTGGGTAACGAATTCTGAATACCGAAAGGGTGATTTGTTATCGGGCAAAAAACACGGGGGCAGATACTTCACAAAAGGAAGCCTGAACCCTCGCCGAATAACGTCTAGAACAAACTCTGGAGAATCTAAACGGATAGATTCATACATAGACGGCGTTTTATTAAAATCATCCTGCATTCTTACAACTAAATTGCGTGAATTTATAACAAATTGCGGAAAAAATCGTATAAAGCGCAAACACTTATCTACCAATTTTTCCTTGGAACAAAAAGTGTAAAAATCCATACATCATTTAATTATACATGAGTTCGTTGCAGCACTTATAATAAATGAGTCAGTCTGTGGCTAAAGCTGCGGCGATCGAAATTAAATCGGGGGAGCGTCAAGATTCGAATGGGGATATTTTACATGAGATCCAGCAATGAAGGCGCTGAAAGTTTTTATCGCGGTGATCGATTGTTTATTTCGTACCAACGTCGATGATTCTCGCAAACTAAAAATAATTACATCACCAAAATAACTACTATGAACATATAAAAGGAATAACTAAAAGGTAATTACTATCAAATGCGGGATTATATGAGGAAACAACAGCGATTTTATACAAAGGAAAACCTCTGCACAGAGTTTATATAGCGGGCAGAACTAACAAATAACGACACGAAGAAAGAAAATGCGTGTTCCTATGAAAGACAACACGCAAACAACGAATATCCTAACGTGAAAAATTATTAGTTCTAAACGACTAGGGACCAATATAAGTGAAACTAACAAAAGATTTATAGCGTAACATANTGACAATATTAATTTTATATTTCAAAAGTTAGCTTTTAACAATTATAGTAGCCTGCCAAACTTTCTTAAGTTTCATGAAATGTTGTAAATCCACCATGGTCTCCGATGATGTATATATTAAGTATATTATTTTGATATTATTCTTCTTACTGTTTGTTTGCAAGAGATGAATTATAACTCTTTGTTTTAGTCCATTTCCTTTACTGTAGATATCTGCAGACAGCTAAGAAGAAGTGTGGCTGTTTTGTTTTGTTTTAAGTGCAAACCATCACCGAAAAGCCAAATTAACAAACGCTAGAAATAGTTATTAAGACCTGCCTTTGCTATGCCTTAATCACTAAAAATATGAAAATACTGAAATTCATTGGTTACAGTACAAACTGCTACACAATACCATTTGTCATCCTTGCTGGAACAGCTTGTTAGTTTACTTGTTTGTTTGTTTATTTGTTTTGACTGTTTTATGCAAATATTTTGGTCTTCCCACCTTCATGGCTTATTTATCAAACTAATATAACTTACAACCGAATGTTAGTGTTCACCTTCATGGCTTATTTATAAAAATATTACAACTTACAACCGAATATTATTGTTCACCATATATGCTTAAAACCTAGCCTGATACAGTTCTCATAAAGTATTTTTCTAATCTGCATTAGCTACCGTTATTTAGGTAATAAAGAACATGGTTTCTCAATCAATCTCAACTCAATGCAGACATTTCTTTTCAGATTTTTTTGGCCATATTCTCCAAAACACTTTAATGTTACATAGGATTTGTGTTCCTTTTCCTAGCTACAAATGACCAATTAAAACAGAAACACTAAAGTGTATTGAGCTTCTACAATAAAAATAGATTGTTTGTATTG